AGAGCTATCACATGTCACGTTCTCTGGGCCCAGGGGGAGGGACATGGTGACATGTTGCAGCCAAGGCCTTCTGCAACGTGGACCAACGGACTGCTATGTGTCACGATTATGGGACACTTGGAGATTGAGGTGTCAGATGCGACTGCCATCTGAACGATGGAAGACAAAGGGGTTGTCTGCACGGACACACGCGCGCAAAATGCCTGCGTAAGATGGCGCGTAGGAGCCCTCTCCAATGTAGCGTGCCATGCTGGCGACCCGCGTAAGCCGCGTCGCAAGGTCGCTATGCTATAAAGTTTCAGCCAACGGGTCGGGAAACCCGTAAGCGAAGCGCCTGAGGGTAGGTGCGCCATCAAGAGCGAGTTCGGTTTTACGATGATTACGACGGAGAAAAGAATACAGTGCCCAAGGAATGTTGGCGCTAGATCGTTCCCATAGGCTCTGGACTGGGTCGAAACCAAGTCTGTCTGGAAGGTGAGGCAACAAAAGATTGCACTGCAATCGCTTGTGGCAGGAAAGGTTGCAATGCAATGGCTTGTGGATTAAATGGCTGCAATGCGATGGTTTGTCAATTGCTTCGTTGCAACGCAATTGTTTATACAATGCGTATGCCGGGTGATTTCTGGCACGTCACTACCTGACCACAAAGCAATTGCGCTCTTCCGGGTTGCCACTTCTCGAAACGCTCAACACATGGCGCGATCGTTTGTGTGCGACTCTTCGACCAGACGGCCGTCACGACTGGTCTGTCCGCCACAAGTCTGGCGGCAGGGGACGATCGCCTTGACCTGGACGGTGGGATCGCGCTGGAATTCGGGGCGGGTCGGCCGATCGCCTGGTTCGGCGGGATCTCCGCCGTTCGCACATAATTACCTATTTGCGTCTGCCCTTCCACTCCCTCCCCGCCTTCTCCCTCCCCCTGCTTCTGACCTGGCTGGAACGACCCCCCCCCAAGTGGATTATCCTTTTGTCCCATAGCTGGGCACCCCCGTCTTTGAGCAGGGACCGACCGTCCCGGCATTTCTACAGGCCTACCACGACATGTTCTTAGAACCCAACAACTGTTCTAAGGACAAAAGCAGTGTTCTTAGAATCTAAGCCCGATGTGTTGAAGCAAGGCAGCCTCAGCCAGAAATGTTCTGAGAACAGTTCGTGCAGAGCACTGAAGGTTCTTAGAACATGCTTCGGTTGGCCTATAGGCGAGCCTGGATGCTTCGCCACTGCTTGACGTCTGGACACCCCTGGAGCCGCGCCCCCGCCCCACCCAGCTGGTTGCGCGCGCTGGCCTTGCTGGCGGCTCCGCCCGTCTGCCCCGCTGCTCCTGCCGCTGGGCGCCCGGGCCTGGCCAGTTCTGCGGTGGGGCGTTCCTGGCTGCCACGGATGAGGTGCGTGCACCGGCTGGGCCAGCCAGCCAGCCCCCCCCCCCCTTCTGCCCCGCCGCCCGGGTGCTCCCTTTCGGTTGCGGCGTCCTCTTAAGTGGCTGGCGCTTTGGAACTCAGCAGCCCCTGGCAATATTGCAGCTCGCTCTTCTGCGCAACCCTCGGCAGCTTTGCAGCCGGCAAACCTGCGGCTCTGCTCTCAGCACCTCACTACGGCAGTAACGCAGCGTCTTGCTGCAGCGAGCTGGTCGCTGGCCCTGCCCCCGTGGTCGTTTGGACCTTCCCGCATCCCGCTGGCGCACCCGCAGCAAAGCCTGTCGACCACGGACAGCCTTGTGACGAACACTTGGATGTTACCTGTTTCTGTGGGCTCGCTCGTCGTTCCTCCTCCCATACTGCTTCGACGTGGTCTACGCGTTCTGCGCCTGGATCCCTGCCTACTAGAGCGCGCTTGCGGAATGCCTAAAAAAACCGTGTGCGATAATTTGGCCGGTCGCCTTTCGAGGTTGCCACCATTTGGCCGGTCCAACGTTGCAGCTTTGCCGGCTGCAAAACTCGCCAAAAGCACGTCTGCAATTTTGCCAGCATGCCGATCGAGACGGGAGATATGTTCCCAATGTGTTCATGCAAACGCGTGCGTGCGTTCCATCCTTGCGAGTTGGCAAATCATCGACTCAACGTGTTCACATGCAGTCCCAAGGGCCGCGGGAGCATCGTGACCCGTTCCCAGAAGTGGAGACGCCATCAAGCCAGCAAGGAGTATGTTTTCAAGGCGTTGTGAAAGTCATTGCGCTGCTTAGCCCCCCAATTTGCTCCCGACCCTTCTGCTAGAAACCCCTCTGCATTCTTCAGAATCTCGCGTGAGACCAGTATTTCGGGGTTGGCCACGAGGGGGGCGTCCAAGAGGGGGGGCCGCAAATCATGGCAGGCGGCATGTGCGCGGCCCAGGGGAGGGGGGGGGGCCAGGGGCGTAATGAAATAAAAAGAGGCGCCATGAAATCTGGAGAGATATCATGGCCCCCGCCATGATCTCCACCTCCCCTAGTCATCACCCCCGTCTTTGCAGCCCCCGATGATTTGCTCGTCGCTCATCTGGAGCCCAGAGAATAGAGCGATACAACATCATGCTGCGGCGTCGTGGTCTGTTCTCGAGTCGTCAGACCAAAGTGCTGCGCGGCGGCACGGCGGTGGCGAGCCCAGGAGGCACCCAGCTGGCCCAGACTCGAAGAGGGGGCCTCGGGTGACTCCAGTTTAAGAGAACGGCCTTGCGTGGTTGCGTGATGATCGACCCCCAAACAAGAAAACATGACTGCCAATGTTGGACATGAACTGACAATGTTATGTCGCTGTATCGTTAACCCCGTGCCCCTGATAATAATCCCAAAGAGATAACAAAATTCGGGATCCGGGGGGATAATCGATGTCCTTCCTGGCAACTCGTACGCATGGAGGAAGGGAGGAGATGTTTACAGACTCGTGCTTTCCCTGGCGATTATGAGAAGCTGCCCCGCAGACCCTCTCTCCCTGGCCCGGGATAATCAACTCTCAGGTGGAAAGGGGGGGATGCTTTCTTATCCGGGGCACGGGGCTAATTATGGGCCACGTCTACATCGCACAGCGGGGCAGGGTTGTCAGGGGCATGCCACCTGTTTTGACAAGAGCCTTGCCCCGATGTGTGGCCGCCGCGATCGCCAAGGCGACCCCCCAAACCGACCCTGAAATTTGGTTCGGGTCAGATATCAAGCAACGACGGACCTCAGCACGCTTCGTTCGGATGAGCTCGGGCTAGACGTCCGAGAGTCGTGAAGCAGGAGGGTCCGGGTCTTCGCAATCAAGGCTAACAAGCGGGACCATTAAGCCGGATGAGGCACGATAAAGCCCGGGAGCAAATCGGACTTGCCAGTATCAAGCGGCGTTCACGGAATTATGCCGGCCGAACTCCCCCCACAGACGTACAGGTGCCGATTCTGAATGAAACCTCCCAGGAGTTGCATCCTAAGGTTAGGTCGGGCATGTCCTCGTACAGGCGGAGTTAGGGCGAAAAGTGAAAACACCCCCCAAAAATACAGACAACATATGCAAACATGATAGAAGAATCGTCCCCATAATATTTTTCCTTATTTTTGAATTTTCCTCCTGTAGAGGGACAGGCTCGACTTTGTCTTCAGGAGGGAGGAGGAGGAGGAGGGGGAGGAGAGAAGGTAGAGGGGGCAACATAAAAAAAACTCGAAGAGGCTATAAGATCCCTGGACCCGGCGACCCCCTCCAATGCTTGCCTTGCTCCTGACACCATCCAGGCGAGAGGTGGGGGGCAGGAGGTGACTACCTACCAGACCCCCCCAACCCAACCCGAAGACCCGAATTTCGGGTCGGGGGGGGGTACGGGCTTCATAGACATTTGTTCAATGTTCCCCGGCCCCCCTCTACTGGAAATGGATGGCAAATCGGGGCTTTCGGGTTGGGTTGCGGTGGTTTGGTGGGCGGTAAGGAGGGAGAGGAGGGCGACGGGGGAGGCGATCGGAAGGATTTCTGTTTCGACTGGCGCAGCGCGACGCCCACATCCCCACATCGCCAGCCGCGATCGCCATCTCGACAACGACGCGCGTGTAGTTCCGCAGGGGAGATAAGCATGGAGGAGCGGGCCAGCAGGATCGAGAGGGGGTGCAAGGGGCACCAGCTGGGGGGAGCCTGTGAGTGCTGGCTGATTCCTAGCGAGAGTCAACTACATGGACACCTGCCTCGTCCTGACTGCGGCCGTGTGCCGCCGTGACCAAAACGCGATCCAGTCAACCACCGATCCAGCACACACAATCGGGAGGAGGAGGCGGCGGCGGAGAGCATCCAAAGGTCAAAGCGTCAATGAACACTAAAGCAGCGGCGACCGATGGGCTGCGCGGTAGGAAGAAGAGGAGGAGGAGGAGCTGTGAGGCTGCAATGTATGCGGAATGATGCCCGTCAACGCAAAATGGAGGAGGAAGAGGAGAAGGTGGAGGAGGAGGAGGAGGAAGAGGAGGAGGAGGTGGAGAAGGACCAGGAGGACGAGGAGGAAGAGGAGGACATGGAGGAGGAGGGTGAGGACCAGAAGGAAGACCAGGATGAGGAGGATGTTGCCGCTGCATTGCTCTCACCGTTACCCTCCTGATAATGGATGCTCCTGGAGATGACCCGGGCAGACCGCGAGCAAGCGATTTAAATCGTATCACCACCCATCGCCCTCCCGAGCGTGTGAAGGAGGGGGCACACCACACTCTGAGAGGGCAGCGCGCGAAAATCACGGTTGCTGGCATTGATCATCCTTCGTGGGCGGTCCAACCATCGCCCTACCGCAGTCGCGAAGACCATTCATAATGTCGTTACAGTCTGTGCACATTGCCGAATCGCATACAGCACAAAGAATGACAATGGAACACTGAGACGGGGCGTCGCATCTCGTGCGAACTGGCCGAGGGCTCCAGGAACCATCCAAAGTCTGACACGTGGTGCACTGGTCGTTAGGCGGGTCCTCAGGGAGCGCAACAGGCACGTAGAGCAGCAGGCCCACGACGGAGGACACTTCCCAGTTCATGTCCCTCACGTGAAACTGCTTGCCGAAAAAGCAGCAGCCCGCTCAGCGAGGCGCAC